AATAATATGAATAGCCAGATTCAGATTAAGGAAACTATTAAGGAAATTAAATTTGTAATTTTAAAACTCCAAAAAAGGACTCTCCAGGCCCAGATGGTTTCACAGAAGAATCCTACCAAACATTTAAAGAATTAACACCGATTCTATACAATTTCTTTCAGAAAACAGGGGAGGGAACACTTTCCAATTCATTTTATGAAACTAACATCACCCTAATACCAAACCAGACAAAGACAGTACAAAAATCCTACAGACCAATATCCTTTGCGAACTTGATAAAGAGCATCTACAATGAAAGACTGAATGCTTCCCTCAACATCAGAAACAAGGCAAGTATGTCTGCTCTCATCATTCTTATTCCAAGGATGCTAGAGGTTCTAGCCAGCACAAGAGGGAAGGAAAGAAATCAAGGAAAGAAAAGGCATATAGATTGGAAAGGAAGAAATAAAACTGTACCTATGTGTATATGACATGATTTTCTATGTAGAAAATCCCAAAGAATCTAGTAGGAGTCCCAACTCCTAGAATAAATGAATGCAGCAAGGTCACAGGATACAAGATAAACATGCAAAAGTCAACTGTAGTTCTATATGGTAACAATGAATATGTAGACAACGAAATTAAAAATACAATACCATTTACAATTGCTAAAAAAGTGACATAGGTGTAAATCTAACAAAACATATGCAGGACATGTATGCTAAAAACTACATAAATGCTGATGAAAGAAATAAAGAAAATATATAAAGAAATGGAGAAAAATAGTGCATCCTTAAGTTGCAAGACTCAACATAGTAGAGATATCAATTCTCCCTAAATTGATATCCAGATTTAACGTAATTTCTATCCAATTCCCAGAAAACTTCTCTGTAGATACAGACAAGACTATTCTAAAATTTATAATGAAAGGCCGAGGAACTAGAATAGCCAAAAAACACTTTGAAAAATAAGAATAAAGAATCAGTCTAGTCTATTTCAAGCCTTACTATATAGCTACAGGAATCAAGACTGTGTGCTAATAGAGAACCCAGAAATAAATCTACACAAATATGCTCAAATGATTCTTTGGTAAAAGTGCAAAAGCAATTCAGCAGAGGACAGACAGCCTTCTCAACAAATGGTGCTGGAGCATCCATAGGCCAAAAAAATGACCCTCGACCTAACTCTCACACCTTATACAAACATTAACCCACCCATGGGTCATGGACTTAAATGTAAAACATAAACTATACAACTTTTAGGAAAAAAAAATAAGAGAAAACCTTTGGGATCTAGGGTTAGGCAAAGAGTTCTTAGACTTGACACCAACAGTACAATCCATAGGAGGAAAAAGAGATAAAATCGATTTTATCAAAATTAAAAACTTCTGCTTTGCAAGACTCTGTTAAGAGGATGAAAAAAACTACAGTCTGAGAGAAAATATTTGCAAAGCACCTATCAAGAAAAGACTAGTATCTAGAAAACAAACTCTAAAATCGACACTAAAAAAGAAAAAAAAAAAATCCAATTAGAAAATGGGCAAAAGAAACGAAAAGACATTTCACTGAAGAGTACATGCAGATGGCAAATAAGCACATGAAAAGATGTTTAACATCATTAGCCATTAGGGAAATGCAAATTAAAATCACAATGTGTCACTACATACCTATCAGAATGTCTAAATAAAAAATAGGAACACCAAATGCTGGTGAGGATGTGGAGAAACTGATCTTTCATACATTGCTTCTGGGAATGGAAAATGGGACAGAACCTCCAGGAAACATTTTAGCAGTTTCTTATAAAACTAAACATGCAGCTGCCATATGACCCCACAACTGTACTCCTGGGCATTTATCCCAGAGAACTGAAAATACATAATGTTATGTTACATTATGTGTTACTGTACACTAACATTTATAGCAGCTTTATTCATAATAGCCCAACAATGGAAACAAACAAGATGTCCTTTAAATACAGTATAGTACATCCATACCATGGAATACTACTCAAACAGGGAACAAATTAACGACACACCCAACAACGTGGATGAATCTCTAGAGAATTTTGCTGAGTGAAAAAAATCCAAACCCAAAAGGTTACATACTGTGTGATTTCATTATATAACAGTTTTGAAATGACAAAATTATAGAAATGAAAAACAGATTAGTGGTTGTCAGGGGTTAAGGAGGAGGTGGGGTGGGTGTGGCTATAAAAGGCAACCTGAGACATCCTTGTGGTGATGGAAAGTTCTCTATCTTCACGGTTTCAATGTAAATGTCCTGGTTGTGGTCTTGTACTATGGTTTTGCGAAATGTTATTATTAAAGAAAACCCAGCAAAGGGTACAGGGGATCTCTATCTTACAATTGGATGTGAATCTACAACTATCTCAAAATAAAAAGTTTAATTAGAAAATAAAGGTAGCCTTATTATTGCAAAATAATAGAGCAATTGACAAGAAATCCAACATCAATTAAATGAAGTGCTCTTTTCAGTCCAAATTTAATTCTGAAGATTACTCTAAATCAGACTTTATAAAACACATTTTCTTCACCCACACATGCACACAAACACAGGAACCGTAACAAGGCAGTCCAGATAGGAAAGCAGACTTCTCTAAATACAGGAGAGAGTGGACAGACCTAGGCTGAAACACGGCGAGAAACCCCTGTCCAGGCTCCATCAGAGACACCGGCGTAAACTGGGGACACGTCCCCTAACTCCTGCTGCCATCTGCATTCTGCTCCCACGATCAAACTTCCAAGTGAGGAGTTCTCAAACTTCTTGGTCTCAGCCCCCAAAGAGCTTTTGTCTACACGGATTACAACCATTGATGTTTATAGCATTAGAAATTAAAGCAGAAAATTTTTAGCAGACAGGTATACACAGGGACACACTCGAGGAGCCCTCGGAGCCGAGAAGTCACTCGGCATCAGGTGGCCCCGGGACACTGCACGCACACTCGAGGGAGCGAGTGGAGAAGGCACACGGCAGGCGGTGGTGCCCTGAACACGCCCGCGCCCACGCGGAGAGCCGCTGGCTCCCAACACAGGAGACAAACGCAAACGCGACAGGAAAGGCGCCAACGCCGAACAGACGAGGCCGTGCATTCCCGCGCGGTGCAAGGGCGCCGAGGCGAGGGCTGCGCGGCCACCGCACGGCTGGGCGCAAGGGGGCTGCCGAGAGGCCGCGGACTGAGGGCCGGGAGCCCCGCCGCCCGGGGTCGCCGCTGCTGTGTCCCCGCCCCGCGCATTCAAACCGTTAGGAACGCAGGACCGCGACCGCGGCTCCGGACCAGCGGGGCAGAGGCGCGGAGACCTGCGAGAACTCCGGCCGTCCCGCCCGCGCC